ACAGAAAAAACTAGAAACAATAGCGAAAGAACACTGAGGATATATGGGTCAGCACTCTTAATTAATAGACAATCCATTAACGAATGTATGGAGAAGATAAACCAAAACAAAAAGTCACTTTACATGGAGACGAAATGCAACAAGCGATGCTTGCTTAATATATATCTCTTTAATTAGAAAACTTAAGTTATATTCGTTCTGGCGGTATACTACCTGCTCAAAATACGTGCACTGATCACATATCTGTGTGTGTTAAAATAGGGTTACGGAATTCGCAAATAGTTAAGGTAGATGACGTAAAACTAAGAAAGGTAAATTAGAAGTGCTGATAAAACATTTTACTTATTACAGAAAAGCACCGGCAAAAAAATGTAACAAATAATATTCAGATGTAAGGGCATACTCTGAATAAAGGAATACAAATATTTTAGCTGAATTTGATAAACGATTCCGATATTAATGGGATAAAATTAAAAAAAAAAAAAGTATGTCAAAACTGCCAGACTTGCTGACGACACAACGCTGTTATTTAGATATGAAGAAATATCCACTTAAATGCAAAACAGAAGGATTATATGCAAGATGTTATGAAAACGAATTTAAAAAACATACAGGAGTAAATTGGAAAGATAGAGTGAAATAATTGGGAGTTCACTTTGACACGTAGTAAAGCATGAAGAACTGAAAGATGTAAAGAATGCCATTCGTCAGAAAAATTACAACAATACATTAAATTATTTGCAAACTTCCACAACAGGTAAGTTTGTTAGATGTCAGCAAATGCGTATATGAGGAGAAAAGCAGAAAACGACGAGAAAATGTTAAGATAGAAACTTTACCATAATACTTTACCAAATCAAATACTACTAAAAATATGGAACTTGAAAATTCCTGTAATCGTAATGATAATGATCCATTTTAGTGCATGCATTTTTGTAAATGCGTCTCGAATGTCGTGACTTAGATACTTCCAGATATAGGGTTCACTTTTTAAGACAATTAAAGATATGTTACCATATGATACAAAATCCATTATTCAAAAGTATAAATATTCCTACGTGGTTGATTCCCTTGTTGGTTTTATCATATACCACTGCTACCATAGAAGTGAGCTGAAAGCCAAATAAGTTCACATTATATTTATAGCGGAATTGAAGAACAAATAATAGAACATCATTATGCAAGGTATAATAACTATGTCCAGCCAAAACCTAACCCCATTTTTACCCGGTTTAAGTTAGATAATGAAGTTCAGGGTTCATCATCAACAGAATAGTTCGTAATAAATTACCTTTCTTGGCCAATGATTGTGCATTCTCGGATGCAGATAAAATTATCAGATTATTAGATGAGACAGGATCGTGTTTGGGACCTCGTCAGCAAAAGTTAGGGAAAAGGTCATCAATGAAAGAAAAAGATTGACTCTTACAATAGTAATTGAAAATGCACAACACTCGAGTAGCAGAGGGAGCAGTTACATTCGATGAAGCAAGTTAATACAGTCAGTGCAGGCGAAACCATGGGAAGTAAAGCAGTATATTACATATCGAGGAAACATACATGTACCAAGGCATGCAATTCGAAAATGACGGTTGAAAACGCCAATTTCCAGCGGCCCAACTTCCGGTAGCGGCGAAAACGAAAACAAGGGTAAACTTTTCAGAAAACGAGTAATTCTCGGAGGAAATTCGACAAACTTGAATGTGGTAAATGTGGTTAAAAACTTGGTTAAAACAGATACGTGTCCAGCAAAAGGAAAAAACATGCGTCGTTTGCAAGAAATCAAGAAATGGAACCATTTCGCCCAAAAGTGTCGTTCTAGATATGTGCACGAGATCAACTTTTAAGAATTCGCATGTGGTTCTGATAATAATAATGTGATGAATTCTATTTTTTTACTATTTTTAATGGGACAAGCCACAGGTTCTAGCCATCGAAAAGGTCAAAGAGCTGATGACGCGTGCCAATTGTCCCGTTTTAGCCCATTTCAACCCACGGCGTATCATGCGTTCTAATATGGATTAGGGGCCATCTTACTTCAAATGGTAAAGCTTAGACATTCGCATCAAAATCCGTACCCGCATGCGAAAACAACTACGTGCAGATAGTAAAGGATATTTTCGCAATCCCTTTTAGTTGACAGCGCTATCAATACATTTCCTGTCAGAAAAACATTATAGAAACTGACAACAAGTCCTTAGCAGCCATCTTTAAGAAGCCATCTTTAAGAAGCGCCCTAGTGTATGCATTTACAATTACAGCGATACGACTTAAAAGTCAAAAAACCTTCCTGGCAAGAGTATACCACTCACAGACACGTTTCCACACCACTTCCTGTCCGACACGCACTCCGGTCTATCAAAAGGCATGGACATGTACGTCACGTAATTATGTAAAGTATACCGGTCAATAATCGCAAACTCCAGATCATAAAAAGTGACGTGATACTGAACGGATGGCTCGGGGAAAGAATAAAATTACTCAGCGAAGTGCTCGAGTATTGGACCTACCGAGACCGACTTTTCCTTGTAGATGGTGTTGTTCTAAAAGGACAGGAAATATGTCAGGAGCGCCGAAGTACCGGTACCAAAGGAACCATTACAGCAACACGAGATTCCGAAGAACCCGTGGCAGTCAGTTGCAACAGACCTATCTGGATATGACGACAAGTCGTACATAGTCATAGTAGACTATTACAGCCGCTTATATAAGGACTTGCAGCTCGATTGCAAGTAAACCGGTCATTCGCAAAATCAAAAGCGTCTTTGCTCTGTTTGGAATCCCAGAAAAGGTTGTCTCAGACAACGGTCCGCAATACTCGTGCGAGAAATTCGCGAATTTCGCCACAGCATTTGAATGTGTTCATGTAACGTCAAGTACCAGGCAATTTTCATGATCGGGTCATTGAAACGTGCGACATCAGTCAATCAAGAATACGTTACAAAGTGGTCCTCAGTAGTGGTCAGGAAGTGATCAGAAGTAGCTAAGTGGTGTTCATTAGTGGTTAGTAGAAATCATGTGGTGGTTAAAAGGTGGTGAGTAGTTGTCAGCAGTTGTCCATTAGTGGTCAGGAGTTGGTCAGTAAGGGTCAAGCAATAGCCACTGGTGTTCAAATAAAGGTCAGTAGTGGTCAAGTGATGATCGGTATTGGCAAGAAGATGGTCAGCGTTGTAAAGTGGTGATCAGTAGTAGTCAAGTAGTGGTAAACATCTGAATGTTGAATGTCGTATGTCGAGTTGATCAACATTCATTATATAACAAATGTTAAATGTCCCATGTCGAGCTGCTGCTCAGCAATCAAAATCTGGATATTGAATGGACAGTGACCAATGAATTATAGCCCTAAGTTGCTTTATTCGACTAACACTTCCCTCATGTCTGCACCTTCCAAAACCCTCTGGGAAATGTGAATGTCTTACGTCACTTTCGAACTGCTCAACATTCTAAATCTGAGTGTTGAATATTGTATGTCGAGTCACGTGACATTCAAATTACTTAACCATAGCCCTAATATGTCCTATTCGCCCATCCCTCACTCCCCCTCTTTTTTTCCCACAGCCTCTTATATACTGAATAAAAAAGTTGAATGTCGAGCGTCGTATGTCGAACTCCTCATCATTCAAAATATGAATGTCGAATATCGCAATTGTTTTTCATATTTGATCCGTGTGACCTTGAACGTAGGTAAAGGTCACTTATTTGAGAACACTTTATAGCACTCTATCACAGGTACGGTATCAGGATATCGGGTCTTTCAGAATTCAAGGGGCAGTTCTTCAAATAAAAAAACTTGACAGACGGACGACGTACCGTTAGTTCACTGTCAGAGGAGCTGAAGTTGCCTACATTCATCAAAACCTCAAATCCATTTAAAAATAGTATAGACTCTTGTACAGTACTCAGTAAAACGCATTTCATAGTCACATATAGGACATACTCAAATATATTACACTCACATACAGTATACACTGTCACACGTAATAACTCCAATACATTTCAAACACACATTTCAAATCCACGCACATACATAAATGCTAAGATGCATTATGTACTCAAATATTATATGCTCACACATTATATACCCATTTGTATTGTATAACTATTCATATGTATTACACATTCATAAACAGTATGCACCTACACTCTTATGTATTATACAATCACATGCATTATTTAAATATTATACACATTTAACACTCACATACATTACATACCCACATGTATTAACACTCACATACATTCTTCACTGAAATATGTTAGTATATGTTTCCATCAATAACTGGCATCCGCTACAGACCATCCAACCACCCCTAGTATGGGTACTATGTTACACGTCATAATTGTCCTGAACACGCTCTCCGACGCGACTGTAGACGTCGGTGCAATGCGTGCATTATTGCTAACGTTGGTGATACGGGTGTTAAATGGCTTAGGATACACTTCGTGTCTGTTGTACTCTCACGATGAAATGGGTCCTCGTTTGACCATTTTGAATTGAATTGATCTTTGATGAATCATGTCTTTTGCAATTCTGCAACAAACTATTACTGTACTTTAGAAGTAACTGTTTGATATGCCATTTTATCTAGGCACAGTTTCTTTTTCCGCTAGCATATATAGACACACACAAATACACACATTACACATTTACATGTATTATACACTTACCTATAACGTCCACTGTGGTCGTGTCTGTCTGTGGTGTATTGTCGGAGTTTTCATTTCTCCCCTCACACGTCCATCTGTCCCCGTGACTGTAACTGTTGGCGGGAATATGTATCCCCAGTGTCCTCGTGTCTGTGTTACAGGTAAGTGTGTAGGGTGATATTGATGGGCATACTGTCCCAAAGTTTATAAACATTTGACCTATTATACCTACACCATCATTCAGTTTATAGTTAACTGCAGCACCTGGTCCTGTGTAATCAGCTGACCACTGACACGTGATACTGAGGGTCTGACCGGACACGACCTCGGCTGTAGGAGAGGGACTGACCACCACGGATAATCCAGTTACGCCTGTAAAGATGAGAAAAGCGATGATAAAAAGTATGGTATATGTTTACTATGTTCAGTGAATATACTCAAGCACGGGTGAAGGGTTAAGAAGTCAGATTGGTCCATGTTTATATTGAATATGTAAGTATTTAGCCATTGTCGACATAAATTGAGATAAAAGTAATTGTAAGTTTGTTTTACAGTGATTGATTGCATTTTCTCTCGGCTTTTATCGCAAAAAAATATCTTGGTTTACGGCTTTTTGAAGGCTTTTTGAAGGATATATAATGGCCGTTGATACTGTTAAAAGACGTATTGATTTAAAGGTTGACGAACCTATTATCAGCGCGACTAAGTATGTGAACAATATATGTAACTGATCGGTACACGTATGTTTTCCATAAGTTCAAGTACTTACATGTATTGATACAGACATTCAATCAAGCAAGCATGAGTTTCCTTACGTTAAGAATCTATAATCAAAAACATATCTCAGATTTGTATTCTTGTCAATCTATTTAGTAACTTTCTGTCCAATATTTTCTATAATCTTCAGTAACCTGACCAGAGCTATGTTTACAGGTGAAACATAATGTAACTCTGTGTGCAAATTGTGATAAATGGCGTGCTATAAACATTTTATTGTTAACATACGAACACCATGATAACACAGTTGCCAATAAATCAACATTCAATACGCAATTTTGACTTATAAGAAATAATCAATATAGTTACATTATAAAACACCCACTGCAATATATTTATGTAATACTCGTAGATGGTAACAAGTAAAGGTTATTGCATGGTTTTCGAGTAACAAGGGATTTAATTAATTAATCCCGAGTGACGAGAAATCATGCAATAACTGGCTTACTACATGCTTCCCAACTCGAACAAAACAGAAAACATTGAGTAAAAAACGTTCACCTTGACAATCTTTTAACCTACCCTACACTGCAGATAATGTACATGTACCTGTGTGAGTGAGTGCTAATCAGAACCAGGTAAGATTGTCTTTATTCTCAATAGCCCAGTTTGAGACGGATACAAGTGATTTTGGATTACTATCCAGCTCCAGTGTCAGGGAAGGTAAGGAGTGGCTGTTCAACAATTAGAACAAAATACGGGAAACAATGTTGAATTTCTGACTATATTTTCAGTTTAATTTTCAAGATGTGGCAAAGATACAGGATATTGAAACCATTTCATACATACAATGTAAGGGTTTAACAATCCGTAAGGAATTCCAGTTCTTTCAATAAATGGTACATGTATATTTGAATGTGCAATTTTGTATAAAGGAACAGCTGACGTAAAGATTATAAACTTTTCCAGGAAATGCTTATCCTTACACGTGATAAGGAAATCTTTTTGTTTGTTTTGTTTTCAATCATGAAATTACCATTTTTAACTTAATTTGTTTTTCTTATTTTAAATGTGTCGACCACAAACTTAGATCTAATCTAATTCCGTGGTGTCAACTAAGTTTATCCTTTCCACTGTATTGACTTCATCATTACTTACTGATTGATTATCTCCCCTTTCTTACAGCATTTGTGACCACAGTCCACTGGACATGCCCCCTTTCATGGTCATGTAATCATGATTGGCCATGAAAGGGTATTATGTGTGCAGTGGACTGTGGTAGCAAGTGATTTATTGCCCACAGTTTCCAATTGTGAGAGATGGGAAGTATGCAGTAACTTCGTTTTGAACAGTTAGCTAATATTGCCTTACTCTATTTATAAGGGATTACCATATGATTACGGTATGGTATTTAAATTGAACGGTATTCTGTTGTCGCAATTTACAGTCCGTGACATCTCTTACTATTGATGTGAATAAATCCATAACACGAGTTTCTACGTATAGAACGAACAATCAGGTATGTATGACAAAGACTGTAACATGTACGAGAACAAAACAAAGTATAGGAGCATAGCATTGAGGCACATAGCATATCAGTATTAAAGGTGTATTTATATGTATATGGTATTCACTATACGTTCACTGTAGGTATTTTATTTTATCATAGGAGCAAACCATTGAAATATATGTTATTTACTAGTTGTTACTGTCGTTATTTTATCAGCGACAAGGAAGTAGGGTATGCATAATTATAGCCAGTTGTTATATATTTACTCTCCCTTCACCTTATATAAGTAATCTTACCTTGGAATGTGGTGATGTACAGCCATAACAAACACTGTATTCGTCTGTCCAGTGTCATACTGACCAGGTCGATGAGCACACAACTGGTGTACAATTTGTTACCGATTACCCGAATACTTCCTGGTCTATTTTGAGAATATCTGTAGCAGTTATGTCCCTTAGTCCACCCTTATCACTAACATTATATAACTGATAGGCATTGAACTCGATAAACCAACATTACTTGGTATACGTACGAGCCACTGTAATTGGTGTGTAAAAAAGACGAATTTCAGAATGTACCACCTATCAAAAGCTAAGGGAAATCCTCAGAATGTCTCTCCATTTCCACATTCTGATAAAACTTCTGATACGTGCGTCTCTAGAATTTAAATGTGGACGAAGTGTTCAATATGCATGAAATGAATGTATACTTATGTTTTATTTGGGCTTAAACATGGCATTTTCAGTGAAATTAACATGTCGGAAGATTATAATATTGTGGTGTTCTTTTCTTAGAGTTCGTCAAATTTGAACATCTGGAGATGTTGTATGTTGTCCAAACAAATATATCTATCAATAACATTCTCTAGGTCGGTTGGTGATTTCTGGAGTATCCCAAAATACAAGCATAATCATGTCATTAAGTCTCTTTACACAAAACAAACTGAGTAATTAGTTTGAGTGACAGCTGCCATTCATAGCAATTGTCTTTCAGACCGAAGCCGTACCCGACCAGGTAAGCAAAATAAGCTGTCCTTTGTCTGAGACTGAATGCAGTGTCTGACCTGGTAAGACCATTTAATTCTGTTACGTAATAAAGAAATTGTATATGATAGACATAGTTAATGTATGAGTTTATCCGACAACAATGATTCAAACGAATTATACATTTCGACTTCAAAGAAAAAAAACTTCGTAAATAGAACATATCTAAATTGACACAACTTAAGGAGAGTTAATCATTCAAACAACTTACATAAAATAATTTCTCTCGGTGGAATAAATTAAATGAAAATTTGTAGTTTAAAATACGCCAAATATCGAGCCTTCTCTCACACTACACAAACTACAAATATCCATTTGCCGTCTAGCCCTAGGCACCGCGAGCAGTCGGCGTTTAATATTGCAGAAAAATATATACATGATACATCCAAATACAGATGTACTATATACCCGGTATATATAACAAAGATGTGTCATCCCAAACATTCTTTAACAAAATTCGCTATCTGTTATTCAAAAAACATCCTTCCCCATCTCAAACCAAAACCCTGCCGCCCTGGAAAAACCGGAGCTGCCCCCGGAAACCTGTGTCCTATTGCCGACATGCAATAATAAAGGCGGGAAAACTACTACAGCCCATTGCAGGATGGTCTAGGGGTAACGCTGGACCTGCGCTAAATTTCACATGTATTTATCAATTATGTCTGTCAATACAGAAACTACAAAACAAATCTAACGAAACCTATCCTGAACTCCGACCCTACCTAAACACCCCTACCCACGGGTGTGCGTCCACAAGTGAATACACCTAAAATACCCATTACTTAGTAAAACACAAAAACAAAAATTTGACTTGAACTGCTCGGTGACTGACTAGAGAATGTCATTTTTCTGCGTTTCGAGAGTATAGCAGAAAATATTTGTCTGTACAGGTACGTCAGACAGGTGTAACGGGTGCTCATGAATATTCATGAGAGGTGTGTAGGCTGCACGAGGTGTCCGTGTCGGGTACAGGGGAGTAGTGGACGCGTGTAGAGAGAGGTCATTCTAGCATTGAAACTCGCAGCATACGTCGCCAGGATGGAGCCAGGAGAAAAAAGAAGCACAGACGGGTCTTCTAGACAAGCTGAGTGAACTGGTATCGTCTAAACTGGAGAGTTTCCAGTATCAAATTTCGGAAAATTAACGGGCGCTCAGCGACGTACAAGTAGCAAAAATTGAACTGATAACAAATGACAAATACAAATTCAACAGGAATGGAAACGAAGAACAGCATAAAGTAAATGCCAAGGTGGGAAAAGCTATAAAAGAGTCTGAAGCTTCGTTGCGCGAAAATTTGAAGGACGAGGCATACGAGAAAATTAATGCAGGTATTCATATGTTAGAACACCGTCAAAAGATGATCAAATTGGCGGACAGTTCAGAATTAGGATGGAGAACAGTGGCAGAATACGAGAAGTAGCTTAGCGGACGACTCGGACGATGAAAAGCGTAAAACAAAGGCGGAAAACAGAGCTCAGCGAAAGTCTAAATTTAGAACGGCAAGAGGCAGTTATCGAGGACGGGCCACACGAACTGTGTAAAACTAGCTTTGCGCACAAACTGTTTCGTATTTTTCTACCGCAAGTGTAATTAACACCAATATAAAATATTATCAATAAGTTAAGTTGATATATTTAAATATTAATTATCATATTAACGCATATATTTTAAAAGATTGGTATTAGCACGGAATTAGAATAGAGGGAAAGGCAACTGCCTCTTCGGCATAGGAAATATGTGCCGTGCACTTGATGTTGCGAGAAACATCGAAGAAATTGATTGCCGTTCAGAAGTAACATATTTTGGGCTATCTCTACCGTTACATTGTCCGGATTTCAAAGTAAGTGATCTTTGCTAAACTTATGTTTAAATATGATTATGTTTGTTTTGTCGAATACCAGAGAAATGTCGCAGAATGCGAAAGTTTATAGTAAACATACAGCGTTGCCAACTTGAATTATTTTATGGCTTCACACCCGCCATCGAGATCTACTTTACTTGCTAATAAATAGATTATTTTGACATACGGACTAAACCAAATTGTTTATTTATATGTTTTCTATTGCTTCGGGTGTTTTTTAAGTGAACCCATATCTCTGATTTTGTAGTATTTGTATTTTGAAATCAGTTGCTAATCAGTGTATTTTAATAATGGCCGCCATTTTGCCTTAGATTACTGATCGCGGGTGGGTTCATGAATGCATGTAATTCTCGGTAATTGATCATAACTATGTAATAATTTGTTTACATAACTACAATCTGGTATATTATCATGTACA